GTGTGTGTGTGTGTGTGTGTGTGTGTGTGTGTGTGTGTGTGTGTGTATTTGCCAGAATTCAAAAACCCGGGTAGAACGCTTAGTAGCAGCGCCTGGCATGCAAACTAGTAGGTGAACTAGTCACTGGGCCACCTACGCTGTTGGTCCGAAGGGACAGGCTTTGGGGTATGGGGGAGGTGCTTGTAAAAATACAGGTTCCTGGTCCCAGCAGTCAGGCGGAATTCCGCTGTCAGCGGTTCCAGGGATTTGCATTGTAAATCTGAAGGTTGAGAACCCTTGGGTCCAAGACGATTCTAACCCATCCCGCACAGGGGGCTGGAGGGGCCCTTAGGTGGGGCTCTGGCCCAGCTTATAGGCGACAGGGATGTCTTCTTGGAGGGGGGAACCCCTTGAAGTTTGAGGTTTTAGCTAAGTGAAAAAATAGAGTGGGGAGAAGGAAGCAGCTCGTGCAAAGACACCGGCATCAAGAGAGAGCCAGGTCCTTTAGACCAGGGCTTCTCAACCTCCTCACTACTGACATTTGGGGCTGGAGGGTTCTTTGTGCTGGGGCCTGTTCTGTGCATTGTAGGATTTTGAACAGCATCCCTGGCCTCCACCTTCTAGTGACACCCCTCCTCCAGTGGTTGACAACTGAAAATGTCTTCAGACAATGCCAGATTTGGGCGGGGGTGGGGGGAGTGGATAGGATCGCATTAGCATAAATGATTTAAAAAATTTTTTCCAATTGTGCACCCTTATCAGTGAAACTTCACTCCCAGATGGATATTTATTTATAAGTAATATACAAATGCAGTTATGCCAATAGATTCTGTAGAATATTTTATAATACTATATTTATTACATATAGATATTCTTTAGCAAACAAAAAATGAGATTAAAAAATAGGTGCTCTAATGTTTTTCTATTTGACCTCCAAATCTTTGTTTGTGGGTGTGGAGACTACTCTATTCGTGAATATAAATGGTTCATGGTGCTTTGTGACAGAATGGTGGAACTTCAGGCAGGGATGGAGGCCTATAGGCTGTATGGAGGACTTGGGATTTTATCTGGAGGGAAGTAGGGAGATCTGGAGGAGCTTTCCCATTATAGTTGCCAGTTACTACATAATCAATGGAGGGGGAGGTTACAGCTATGTCCTATCCCCTGGCTAGAGTAGGCACTGAGTGGACAGGAAACAGATGGGAAGTTGATCCAACTATGGCAAGAATCAGGACTGCTAGATTCTCATAATAATGGCCACCATATCGAGTGCTTATTCTGTGCCAGGCACTGTTCCAGGTACTTCAGACAGAGCATGGAACAAAAGAAAGAGCTGGCTTTCTAGTGGGGGAGACAGACAAGGAACAAATATATAATAGGACAGGAAATAAGTGCTAGGGTGAAACATGAACTGAGGTAGGGAGATGGAGAAAGGGGGGGTCAGGGAAGGCGGTGGGAAGCGACATCTAAGGGGAAGAGAGTTCTAGACAGAGCCAACAGCAAGTGCGAAGGCCTTGAGGCGGGAGCATTGGGCTGTTGTTAGCAGTTGTAATAGTTCTCTATGGCTGCCTAAGAAGCCTCAAACTTATTATTTCATACAGTTTTGTGGGTCAGGAATCCAAGAGCGGCTTTGCTGGGCTTTTCTAGCTCAGGGTCTCTCACAGGGTTGCAGTCAAGGTGTTTGTGGGTGCTGCAGTCATCTGAAGGTCTGACTGGGGCTGGAGGATCTGCTTCCCAGGTGGCTCACTCACACGGCTGTCAGGTGGATGCTGATTGTTGGTGGAATGCCTTAATTTCTCCCTACTTGAGATGCTTGAGTATATTCCCATCTTGCCAGTGGGCCTCCCCCCACAGAGCAAGTGATCCAAGAGAAGGAAAGCCAGGTGGAAGTTGTATCTTTTTATGACCTAGCCTGGGAAGTTACATTGTATCACTTCTGCTGTCACCTTCTGAACTTTAAAATTGAGTCACTAGATCCAGCCTACGATCAGGTGCCAGGGAATAAAGACCCTGCCCTCTCCTCCCACCCTCCTGTCTCCTGCTGGAGACTCATTGACTGCACCAGAAGGCAAGAAGGGCAAGGGGGCTGGTCATGCTGTCAGTCTTTCGCGACACAGACTTGGAGGTAGAAGGGTGGGAGTTGATCTGGAAGGACAAAAAGAATATCTAACCAGAATATTAGTTAGATATTAACCAATAAACAGAAAAGGAAACATTCCCAGTGATCAATGGGGGTGCTGCCTACCCACCAACAATTTTGTTTGAGATTTGGAGCCATCTTGACCTGGCCAGATATGGCTTATACAGTGGTGTGAGCATTACTACATTTTCTCCTTTGTCTTTATAAAAAGATGTGGAAAGGGAGAAAATGGTTATGCTGATAATAGTGATAAGCAGTGTAGCCTCTGACACTTTAGTATAATTGAGTCAAAGATGGAGCGATGTTTTTGTTTGTTTGCTTGCTTTTTTGTTAATCCTTACCTGAGGATATTTTTGCCATTGATTTTTTATTTTATTTTAGAGAAAGTGAAAGGGAGGGAAGAGACAGAAAGAGAGAAAGAGGAACATTGATGTGAGAGAGACATTGATTGATTGCCTCCCCACACACCCTGACAGGGGCTGGGGATTGAACCTGCAACCCAGGTATGTGCCCTTAACTGGGAATTGAGCCCACGACCCTTCGGTGCCAGGGCTGATGCTCTAACCTCTGAGCCACATCTGCCAGGGCAAAGATGGAGCTTATTTGATCCATCCATTCATTAATGTGACAGACATGTAGTAGGTGCTTCTAATGGGGAGGGCATGGTACTGGGCACCATTTCTGCCCTTCCAGAGTCATGGTCTTAATGGGAAAGAGAAACATGAAGCAGATAATATTGTAAGCAGTTATTTAATTATATTTATGGTATATAACCCCCCACCTCCCTTTCCAAATGGAGAGATCCATGAGAAAGAATAACACGTAGGAACATATGGGTAGGGTGGTCAGGGAGGGCTTCATTGGGGAGGTGCCTTTTGAGCTGAATCCGAACACTTCCTGAAACAGTGTGCCAAGTGTTTTAAACTATGTATCTCATTTTATCCTCATAGCAACCCTATGAAGCTGGTAGTATTCTTATAAATGGAAAAGCAGTGGATTTTTGTTTGCTTGTGTTTTTTTTTTTTTTTTCTCATTGCGAGAATCTGCTCAAGGAGTGTATAGGAGTTACCTAGGTGAAGAGGTTCAGGGCAGAGGGAGCAGCATGTGCAAAGATCCTGGGGGCAGATCAAACCCGCCACCTTTTGGTGTACACTCCAAGTAACTGAGCCACACCAGCCAGGCCATGGAAAGCTCTTTTACAATAACATTTAACTAGTAAGAAGTAATTTGGGATTTTATAATTGTGTAGTCCTCAGTAAATAGAATGTCCTTTGCAACACAGAAATTTGTTGTTCGAGTTTTGCGCAATCAGCTTCAAACACATTTCCAGGAATACATTATGTGCAGAAGTTGAGTAACTTGTCTGGGGCTCTGCTCAAATGAATTTGGTGAGTGGAGAAATCACAGTGGCAAAAATACCCTGTGTGTATCCAGGGCTTGCTGGATGCCAGGCTCTCTGTGGAGTGTCCTCTGGGCTCAAGCCTATCAAGACATTCCTAAG